GTTGACTGGGCAGTTAACAACATCCGCATCATTCAGTCATGGTGAGGAGCAGTCGATTCCAGCTCGACCAACGTTGGGTTCCGTTATACCGTTGTCTCCATAGGAGAAAAATGTGTAGACCATTCAAAAACACTGTCATAAAATTTCAGTGACTTTTCATGTAGTAGTAATTTCTCCTCGAGCAAGCCTCCTCTAAACCCCTGGTCAGGCTCTCCATCCAGATCTTTATATCTGTCAACAGAAACAGCCAGGGGATGAATTACAAAGACAACTCTACTTATTATGGGACAGTTCACAGAGAATAGTCAGATGTAGAGTTTCAATTTATTAGATGAGATCTCTCAAAAAAAACCTCTAAAATACAAACATTTAAAGAAAAAAAGGAAAATAACCTTTCCCACCAAAAAAGAAAAACAAAAAAAAACGTACTTGTGGGAAATTCGCCAGAATCCCAGAGTATTTAGGAGCATCAAAGAAGCCAAAAGGAAGAAAAAATGTTCTAGATGACCGGCAGCCAATACTGCTGGATACCAACCACCTGAAAAACACAGAGTTACAGAAACGATGACTATACGATGCAACGGAACCCCAATAAACTGGATTTCTGTGACTTCAAATCATGTTAAACTGCTTTAACTGTACGTTCTGTGCTCTCTGAATTCATGTATGTAGTGTTAATAAGAAGACAGATACAACAGGAGTGAAGGAAGTCAATTCATGAAATATGGGATCAATAGCATATGTTACAGGGGGCAGCAGTAAAGTTTTGGATGAAGGAGCTAAAATAAACAGTTGGGATAATTTCTCAGATTAAAAACATAAAAACATCCTCTGCTTTCCTGAAAAGTGTTTCATGTCAAAATTGCTTGATGTAATCAGCAATTCACAGCAACAGGTGGGGTAATCTCACCTGTTGCTGTGAATTCAGATAATCTCACTAATCCCTTCCCAGCAATCTTCCTAATCCCCAATCTCTCTATAGCCTGCCGTTTAAACTCATTAATCCCTTCCCAGCATGCCTCCTAACCCCCCAATCTCTCTATAGCCGCCGTATAATCTCACTGTGCATGTGGTTGGTCAAAAAGAGACTTCCAGGAATTTTTGGATATGTTGTTCACCCCAGATCATGGCTATCAGGGGATGTGACATTTGTGGGGATATGTTGTCTTTTGTGGTGTTTTCTAGACTTTTTATAAATGTGTGGTTTTTCTGTCTGGGGATAATAGTACTTCGTGAAAGTACTGCTCAGATCCCAGCATAAATAACCGAACTCCGCACGAAACACACTTTATTATACATTCTCATTAAAAGTACCGAATACATATTAGGGAACAAATTACCGAAGGACCAGTGCTCCTGAACGGTCTGGAAGTCCAGCGGTGTTCGCGCCGTCGAGTAGCCGATTTTAGTTCCAGGAGTTTGACGACCAAACACGGCTGGGCTAACAAAGGATCCAAGATGGCCGACCGCCGCGTGGTCGGTAGCTGAACGACGCCCACCCAGGAAAGCACTTAACTACCGATTGCTACAATGTTGCAATCGGTTAATGGGAGCCACACGACCATCTGTGTGTGGGCTCCCATCCAGTACTTTATTTGTTTCACGAACAGTGTCTAAAGTCACTGTTCATGAAACTACCATATGAATGCTAGCGGCTTTTGGCCGTTAGCATATGTAACGGCTACCCAGGTAGTAGGAGGGTATCAGCTGTTGGAGACGTCCTTTTCTTCCCGGCAAGTCGCTTTGTAGTAGTGGAGTTGCTTATTCAAATCCACTGGATCCAAGGCAGGAGTCAGGCAGAGCTCTTAAAAGAGCTAAGTGATTAAGCTGCGTATCCCCTTTCAAGAACGAGACAAGGCTAAGTTTTGAAGGGTCAAGAAGAACTGAATTTTAATGGCAGGCACTCTCCTTTTATGTGATGCTGCCCATGCAAGGGAGAAACCCACATAATTAACACAACAACCAATACAACATAAGGTACATCCCACACATCTCCTCCCCTCAGATAAGCCTGTAACCCAATTAACACAGTTACATTTTTCCCCAATACAGCTTTTTTCCCCAATACAGGTGTCCCCAGATAGCCCTATTCTAGGGGACCAACATATTTAAAAATCATCTCATTCGGTTCAGGAGATATAGTACTTTAAAGTTTTAACCGACAGCACAGGCAAAATAGCCCCAAAAAGTTCCATGAGTTTTGGCCTTGCAGTCGATCCTTGTTCGTGAGTTAAAAGTCCCAAAAGACTTGCCATCCATGTGTAACTTGATGTTTGCCAGAATCCCCATAGGCTACTGAGTCTTTCTACCGAACGGCAGAGTGTTCGGTAGTTTTGGCACGGATTTCTGGTACTATGGAGGTCTCAGCGGTGTTCGACTACTCGAGTGTCCGATTTTAGTTCCAGACACTCAACGGCAAAACACTGCTGTTCAGGAGTTAAGATGGCCCCGGACACATGTAAAAGTCACGAAATAGCGGCCACCCAGGAACTTAAACAAAGCGTTCGTGTGTTTCCCATGAAGACTGTATTCGCCGATCAGGGAGGTAAATGACAGGGTAGTCCGGTGTTCGGTAGTTTGCATTCGTATGATGAATGAAGCGTCCCTACTGTCTGGGTCTCACAATTGAGCGAATGCTTTAAAAATCCTTAACTGCTTTATAGAAAAATCCCCACGAAAGCCACCAGCTTGATGTATTTTTCTGAATAAACGATACATCCTTATAATCCAAGCTTTCTGTTCCTGTGTATGTGCCCGGCTAGCTCTTAAAGGGTTGGTAATATCAAGTGTTTCCAGGCACAGGGTAGAGTTTTGTTACAGCATATGAATACTCTTTATTGCAAATACACATGAATATATCCTTACATACAATAAAAGCAGACAACCTTCTGATGTTATACAGTAAGCCTTAAAGTGGCTAGGTTTGCCACAATGCTACCCCAGAACCAAGCCGGCATACACAGTCTGATCCGATACGGTCAATGACTGCTCCAATATGTTGCAGGTGGTCGGACCAGGTCTGGCAGTATATGGCAATATCATCCAGGTATGCACATGCATACTCCTGGAACCCGTCCAGTAGCCGATCTACCATCCGTTGAAAGGTAGCCAGAGCATTTCTCATCCCGAATGGCATGACTTGAAACTGGTACAGGCCAAACGGGGTGACAAATGCCGACTTGGGGATGGCATCCTCGTCTAGTGGAATCTGCCAGTACCCTTTGCATAAATCTATTGTAGTGAGGTACTGACCTCGTGCCATCTTGTCTAGCAGCTCATCTACCCAGGGCATCGGGTAGGTATCAGACACTGTTTTGTCATTTAGCCTCCGGTAGTCTACACAGAATCGTGTTGTGCCATCCTTCTTGGGTACCAGCACTATCGGCGCTGCCCAGGGGCTATTGGAATGTTCAATAACCCTAGCTGCAATGTTTCCTCAATCTCCTTCCTCATATGTTCCCTGACCGCTTCAGGGATACGATATGGGGTATGCCGCATAGGTAGCTGTCCTGGGGTATCGACTCGGTGAGTAGCTAGCGGGGTGTACTCTGGTAAATTGGAGAAATTAACTCCTGTACCTGGGCAAGCTCCTGGGGGCTTAGCCGCTCCCACAGCTGAACACCTGTGGAGGGCTCTGCCTGATCTTCCCGCTCTAATAAGTCAGGTAGCGGAAGATTCTCCTGATCCTCAGAGGCTGAGGCGCATATAGTCGCCACGTCCTCTATCCTCTCATGGTAGGGTTTGAGCATATTCACGTGGAGCATGCATCTCTTCCCTGTCCCTGAGCAGGGGCCAATCACATAGGTGGTGTCACATCTCTGTTCCACCACCTGGTATGGGCCTTGCCAGACGGCCTGCAGCTTGTCATTGCGAACAGGTTTTAAAATCAAAACTTTCTGTCCCATTTGAAAGCTGCGGTCCCTGGCTCCCCTATCATACCATAGGCGCTGGTGTTGTTGAGCCGCCTGGAGGTTGGCCTGTACGGTCTGTGTTAGTGCCTCCAAGCAGTCCCTGAACTCCAGCACATATGGTACAATGGGTGTGCCATCTGTACTACTTTCCCCCTCCCAGTGCTCCCTAATTAAATCTAAAGGCCCTCGCACCCTTCTCCTAAACAGTAGTTTAAAGGGAGAAAATCCCATGGACTCTTGGGGTACCTCTCTGTATGTGAATAGCAGATGGGGTAGGAATCACTCCCAGTCTTTATGGGCCTCTCCAAAGGTACGGAGCATCTGCTTTAAAGTTCCATGAAACCTTTCACTTAACCCATTAGACTGAGGGTGGTACGCAGAGTTCATGATAGGCTTAATGCCACATATTCTCCATAGTTGGTGGGTTACTTCGGCCGTGAATTGCATACCCCTATCCGATATGATTTCCTGGGGGAACCCTACCCGTGAGAAGACTTTCATTAAGTCCTCGGCCACTGTCTCGGTGTGGATATTGGAGAGGGCCACTGCTTCGGGGTACCGGGTGGCGTAGTCTACTATGGTCAAGATATATCTCTTGCCGGAGGGACTGGGTTTTGGTAAGGGTCCTACTATATCTACGGCCACTCTACTAAAAGGTTCTTCAATGATGGGCAGTGGGCATAATTTGGCCTTGTGGCGGTCACCCCTCTTGCCTACTCGCTGACAGATGTTGCATGTCTGGCAGTACTGCCGCACATCCTTGGATATACCTGGCCATAAAAAGGCATGGGTTAGGCAGTATTGGGTGCGAGTCATCCCCAGATGCCCAGACAAGGGGATGTCGTGTGCGATTCGAAGAAGTTCCTGTTGATATGTCTGGGGTACTACTAGCTGTCTAGTAGTCACATTTACAGACCCTCCCACTACCATTTCAGCAATACGGTACAATAACCCCTTTTCCCAGGTATACTGTTCCCCCTCTAATCCGGCCTGGTCGGAGATGACCCTATCCTTGTACACTTTTAATGTAGGGTCTATCTTAACCTCTGCCTCAAATTCATTTGGGGTATCCCAGGTAACACGTGTCGTAGGAGTGTCAATGTCTCTTACCTGAGCCTCAGAGTGCGCAGATGGAGCCGTGGTGCGAGCCTGTTGCCTTGTGGTTACTGGTTGGGCCTCTTGGAGTGGAGCTTGAGGTATAAAAGCGGAAGTCATTAGGCCCAGGTCGTTCCCCAATACGACATCTGCCGGCAGCTTTTGCATCAGGCCCACCTCTACCATCCCGTCCCCAACAGCCCAATTCAAATGTACTTTTGCGGTTGGTACTCTGTATACCACTCCCCCTGCTACTCGCACTGCTACGGATCCGCCCGTGTGTGTTGAGCCCGGAACCAAATGAGGTGCTACCAGAGTCAGAGTGGCCCCCGAATCCCGGAGCCCTTGGACCTCTTTCCCTTCCAGGGTTACTAGCTGGCGATGGTGTTGCCTGTTGTCTGTGGCTTGTACAGACTTCACATCGTGCAGTATTCCCAGGGGCTCTTCTGTCTGATTAAATAATATCTCCTGGGTTGCTGGCTCCGCTTGGTAGTGGTGGGTGGCTGTTCTTGGTGCTGGGTTCGGCCGTACTTGGCTCCATGCTTGACGGCTCCGGTTCTGAGTACACTCTCTCGCCATGTGGCCCCATTGCTTGCATGTATGGCACTGGATATTAGCCCTGCCATTATATCTGGATGGTGGAGTGTGCCCCCCCGGGGTTGGTCGGAATGGGGTTGCTGTGGGTGCAGTAGAGGTAGCTGTAGGAGGTTGAGCAGTGGGTCGAGGGTACCCTCGGTTGAGGTTACCATGATGCCTCCTGGCATCATAGTGCTGGTCTGCTAGTCGTGCAGCTTCTGTTAGGGTGAGGGGTTCTCTCTCTCTCACTCATTCCTGGGCCTCTGGGGACAGGCCATTGAAAAATTGTTCCAACAACAGCAATTGCCGTAACTCCTCCATGGTGGTCACTTGACTGGCTTGTATCCACTCCTGGGAGGCTTGGTTCAGTTTGTGTGCCCACTCTGCGTGGGAGTCTCTCTGGTTTGCGCAATCCTCGAAACTTGCCCCGGTATGCCTCCGGGTAACGGCATATCTTTCTAGTATAGCCTGTTTCAGAGAAACTGCTATGTTTCACTGAGGGTTAATCCAGCCTCTAGTGGCTGTCTCATTGACAGCCGCAAGAGAAGCTTCTGCGATTCTCACTGCGAAAATCACTGTGAGAAGACGCTGAACTTCCATAGGAAAGCATTGAGTAATGCTTTCCTATGGGCGGTTTGAATGTGCGCGCGGCTCTTGCCACGCATGCGCATTCAAAGCTGAGAGGCGGATCGGGGCGGAGAGATCCCCAGCGCCAAGGGAGTCCGGCGCTGGAGAAAGGCAAGTGCTTAAGACACACACACTCTCATGAACAGACGCATACTCACTAGCTAACAGACACACACATTTACTGACAGACACACACTCAGTGACAGACATACATACACACTCACTAACAGATGCACACAGACACACACTAACACACTAACAGACACACACACACACTAACACTAACACACACTCTAACTCACACACACACTCTCCCCTGAGTGCTCCCTCTTCAGCTCCCTCTTCAGCTCCCTCACGCGTGCGCGCGCGTACTGATGCCGGAGCCGGAAGATGACGTCATCTTCCGGCTCCGGTATCAGTGCGGTGCGCGAGGGAGCTGAAGAGGAAGCACTCAGCTAGGGAGAGTGCTCCCTCGCGCGCCCGCCAGCCGGGTGACACCAGAGCCAGCCACGGGGGGCCCAGAGGTGGCCGGCTCCTGGGCCCCCCAGGAGAAGAGGCTGGCCACAGTGGCATACATACCAGGTCACAGAGCAGCCGGGCCCCCTGGTGGGCCGGGCCCGGTCGCAGCCGCGACCCCTGTGATGTACGCCATTGCCCACAGATTGACACCCCCACTCCTCCCACACACAGACTGACCCCTGACACCCACACAGACTGACGCATACACACAGACTAAACACCCCCCTTACACACAGAGACTGAACCACACACACACAGACTGACCCCCAAACACTGCCACACTCACACAGACTGACCCATAAACACATACTGAATCCCCCACTTCCACACACAGACTGAACGTAGAAACATAGAAACATAGAATGTGACGGCAGATAAGAACCATTCAGCCCATCTAGTCTGCCCAATTTTCTAAATACTTTCATTACTCCCTAGTCTTATCTTATAGTTAGGATAGCCTTATGCCTATCCCACGCATGCTTTAAACGCATGTTGAACCTCCCAACAAACACAGACTGACCTCCACCCCCACACACAGACTGACCCACACACACAGACTGAGCCTCCCACACACAGAGACTGGCCCACACACACACACAGACTGACCCCCACATCCACACACAGACAGACCCACACACACACACACACACACACACACACAGACTGACCCATACACAGACTGAACCCCACCCACATACACAAACTGAAAACTGACCCCCCCACACACACACACAGACTGAACCCCCACATACACAAACTGAAAACTGACCCCCACACACACAGACTGACCCATACACACAGACTGAACCCCTCACACATACACAAACTAAGAACTGAGCCCCCCCCACACACACAGACTAGCTGTCTAGTAGTCACATTTACAGACCCTCCCACTACCATTTCAGCAATACGGTACAATAACCCCTTTTATTGATCCTATTCTTCTTAAATTACATTTTGGTTGAATTACCCCCCACACAGAATGACCCCCATGCCCACAGACTGGCACCTACACACACACACAGACTGACCTATACACACAGACTGAACCCCCAACTCCCACACAGACTGAATCCCCCCACACAGACTGACCCCATACACACACACAGACAGACTGAACCCCCCCACACACACAGACTGACCCATACACACACAAACTGATCCATACACACAGACTGAACCTCCACACCCACACAGACTGATCCTGTAACGGACCGTTTCAGCACACAAGGGGTTAAAATCATTTAAGCGATCGTCCCCTTTCAGAGATGCAGGCACAGCTACTGTAGAACACCAAACTCACGAACCGCCTGTAAGGGAATGCTCCAAACTCCCGAACGGCATACAATATAGCACTCCAAACTCACGAACTGGAACCATACGAATCGCTGCTAGCAGCTGAACAGGAAAAGCACCCAAGCGGCTTACACTCCTAGCAATCAGTCTCTATCAGCATTCAGTAAATTCCCCCCAAAGACGAGACAGAGCTTTGTGTTGTAGGTCAAGCAGTGGTCTGTTTAATGAGGGCTACCTGCCCAGTATTTATGCAGGTCTCCCACCTGGTGGACACTCCCCTAGGGGACCAAATGGGAGACTGTGACAAAGGACAGACAATCAGCAATCTAGGACACACAGTCACATTATATTCCCACAATGCATCCTGGCTTCCTCCTCTCTGCCCTGGAGATAATTGAGAAGTAATTCAATTATCTCCCAGGACAAAGGCAAATCGCCATTATGCACGTGGGAATACTAAAACAAGAATTACTATTAAAATACACTATGACAAAAGTTACAATAAAACTATACATTTAACATATCCCCAGATAGCTCAGGTCTGAACACACATTATTAAGCAAATGGCGCTCAGACCATACGAATACAGTTTAATTGCCATGGAGCCAAAGTCTTTACAAAGTCAGTTCTCATACGAATGAGCTCCATGGGATTCCTATCTGGGGTATAGTGCAGTCAGGTACAACTACCGAACACTGGGCCGTTCGTGCACTTTCACCAAACAAGAAGGGAGGTCGGTGGATTCAGCGGTGTTCGCGCCAAACGGTGTCCGTTTTTAGTTCCATGAGTTAGGCGTTGAACACCGCGGTGCGTTCGCATGTTTAAAATGGCCGTGACCTCGTGTTCGTTATACAAATGGTGGCCACCCAGTATTCGTCAATTAAGCTGCGGTTAACCGCAGCTTCTGGGAGGCTAATTGCCGGCACACTCCAGCTCCCAGGTTGTCTAGTCATTCGTGCGGTTGTTCGGTAGATTGAATCTACCGAACACCTGGCAGAAAAGCGCGAATAAGTCTTTTCTGCAGGGGAAAAGAGGTCTTTTAACATGGGGCCATAATCCAAAGGCAGCAGGCGAGCAACCAGGCTTCTCCACTGCAATGTGGCGAGATTGCTCTCGTCACAGACCCATACACACAGTCGGTAGTTGCTTTCTCCCAAACACCATTCTCCTAACTTGTCTAGAAGTTGAAGGGCAGCGGTATAGTTTTCCCCGGCGTTTGCGGGATTACGTAGCCGGCATAGAGTTCCACGTATTCAAATTTGGGAGACAAAATAGCTGCCATTCACTAGAGCACTTGCTCTAATATATACGAATGGCGGCCACCCAAGGAAAGCACTTGAGCTAATTGCTCGTTTGCTTTTAACAAGCCAGGGGTGGTCAGTGTTCGAGGGATATTAAAGGGGGACCACACATCTTTCATTCGGGGAACGAACAGACAGATGAACAACGTACAGACAGGGGAATACATTTTGTATTGCGAACCCGTTGCGCTACAGTGACTCCAAATATTTTCATGCAAATCAATATTCCAAAGAGCACAAGTGACAACAATATTCTCAATATTAACTAGGTAACATTAATTGATTAATAAAAAAAAAGAAGAAGAAAAAAAAAAAAGGCAATTACAAAAAAGGGAGATTGTCTCAATCACAAAAATAATTTAATGTACAGGTTCATCTGAGAGGGACATTTTTTTCAAGATCATAAAAAGTTGTGCAAATCAAATTCTATATTAAGGCAGAGGGAGGGGAGGGGCAATGTATCTAAATAAAAAGCCCATTTCATTTCTTCCTGTCCATTTTTGTTTTGTAATCCCTACAAAATTCCAAACCCCTTAAGATCCCTTAAGGCCTTAATATAGAATTTGATTTGCACAACTTTTAATGATCTTGCAAAAAGTGCCCATCTCAGATGAACCTGTACATTAAATTAATTATTTTTTGATTGAGACAATCTCCCTTTTTTAAATTGCCTTTTTTATTTAATATATGTTGATTTAGACAATACGCCCCTTTTTAGATTTTTTTTTTGGGGGGGGTTAATTCCACTTTTTTAATTCCTATATGATCCTATTCTTCTTAAATTACATTTTGGTTGAATTATCTTGATTTAGAATTTCTTGCCTCTTTGAATTTTAGTTTCAACAATCTGCCCCTTTTTTCCTTTTTTTATTAGAGTTGTAATATTTTAACCCCTATAGGATATTTTGACTCTTAAATTGTTTTATTTTCTTCTTAATATAATGCTATTAGACCTTGTTTTTTTATTTCTACATTGCTTTTATAGACTCTTGCATATATACATATAGTGCATTCTTGGACTGATGGAATGTATATTGTAATATAAATTCATTAACCATTCTTTCCTTTATTCTCATTTTTATTTTTACGTTCACATAATGGAATGTAGATATCCTTATACATGTTTGTTGCTATACTTAAGGATTTTAATATTTATAATATGGTATTTGCCTTTCTTTAGAAATGGAGATGGACTTTTTTAGGGAATAAGAGACAGCTGTGTAATAAATTGACTGGATGCTATATAAATCTGAAATACGTGGGAGGACTCACCATGCTGGAGAAAGCCCCAGGAAGCGGGGTGAAACATGTTGCCAGCCGAAAACTAAGTGAGACGCCAAAACGAAGGAGAGAAAGGAACCGGTTAAAAACTGGGACTATATCCTCGTCAAAGTGGTGTCTTCCATCCAGGAGCTTGCCCTTGCTGATTATATGGTTTATAAAATTTGTGGAATTAAATAAACATTGAAAGCAAGATCTTTTCAGCTGTGGGTGAGTCTGTACAGCTGGCAATCTTGGATCCCACGTACTCAAGGGACTGATCCTCCCTGGGTACTATAGTTTGGACTGGTACTGTAACCCTCTGTACCCGTGAGTTTAACCATTTGGATTTTAACTTTCTTTTTGCTTTAATTTACAATGTTGCACTAGGATGGTTTTTATGTTTTTTATCCTTAGATACTTTTGATTCAACAGAAGGATATGTTGCAAGTATATATCATCTGTTTGTGCTTTTATGAAAATCATTTTACACCTTTGTGGTGATTTCAGTATAAATTGATGTTTTAACTAATCAATCAATTAATGTTACCTAGTTGGTATTGAGAATATTGTTGTCACTTTGGAATATCGATTTGCATGAAAATATTTGGAGTCACATTTTTACAAAGCTTTGTGGAATATCACATTTTTAATTGTAAAATGTATTTGCCCACCCATTTATCTATATTTAACTCGTAAATGAGAAATTCGGATGCAATTCTATGCATGTTGTCAGAACTAGGGTTCTGATACACTCCATATTAATCCAAAACATTGGAATCTTACCATCTGAGCTTAAAAACACAACTTCAACCATCAAAGCTCCTGTGAAACAGCCCACTGCATTGAAAAGTGTCAGGAAGTTCATCGAGATGCCTCGAATTCGACTTGGAGCAAGTCTGAATGTTATGACAGAGCCTGAAACATATTTAATGACGTTTTACTGGGTTTGTTTATATTTGTTTATATGGTTTGACAGTATAGTCTACATGCAGCGAGTAGTAATAGCTGGTGAAAGTCTACTGATGGATTTTTTTTTTTGGCTACCAGCTCTACCTATAGAGCTTTGCAGATGATGGCCATCAGTCTAACCAGTCACACCAATTGCTTCACCCATATCTGGACTTTGAGTTATCCAGTGAGGTTCACATCAAGATAATCTAGACATCAATTATGTATTGTCATTATTAGATTATTATTAGGGAACATTAGAAAGCATATTAAAGTTATTGATTGAGATTGTCCACTCTCCATCAGTTGTATTTAGGGGAATTTTCCATTTTCCCACTGATTCTGACTTTGTGTTAACGGATTGCTAGGAATCTACATGCAAATTTTCTGGCTCAATTAGGACATTAAGGAGAAAAAGCTACAAATACTTAACTTACTAATATAGACATGCTACCTTCATTGTGCTGATGCAATACTAGCCTGAGGATCCCCATAACACTTACAGGAAGGAATGACCATGACTTCAGCCAAGCCCAGCAGAGCATACTGAGGGGCCAGGTGAAAGGCAGACATTGTGGAAACCTGGAGAACCCTGCCAGAAAGAGTCTGTTCCACCAGTGGGAAGTTCTTTCTGTAGATTTCATAGACCCCTGCGACCAGTAATGATAGAGATGCACAGAGGTGACCATAAACTGGAAAATAAATAAACAAAGTGATTGGGTTTGTCTGGGGTCTATCTTCAAAATATGAGCCAGTGTGTTTTACTTTGTGCATCACGCAAGTGACCCTGTGTAACACACACTGACCAGCCACAACATTAAACCCACTAACAGGTTAGGGGAATAACATTAATTACATTGTTACAATGGCATCTGTCAAAGGGTGGGATGTATTAGGCAGCAAGTGAACAGTCAGTTCTCGTGTTGGAAGCAAAAAAAAAAAAGAAAATTGACAAGTGTCCTGTTATGCAGTGTTTAGTACCAACCAAAAGTAGTGTAATGAAGGACAACCGGTGAACTGGCACCAAGGTCATGGGCGCTCAATGCTCATTGATGCACGAAGGCTAGCCCATTTGGTAGGATCACACAGAAGAGCTACTGTAACTCCAATTGCTGAAAAAGTGAATGCAGGTCATGATAGAAAGGTCTCAGAACACACAGTGCATCAAAGTTTTCTGTATATGGGGCTGTGTAGCTGCAGACCTGTCAGAGAGGCCATGATGCCGATTGTCCACCGCCAATAGCACGTTAAATGGGGAACTGAGCATCAGAACTGGACTATGGAGCAATGGCAGATAAGTCAATTTTTATTTTAGATTGCATGAGCATTGTTTATCTAGGGAAGAGATGGCATCAGGATTCAGTATGAGAAGAGGGCAGGCCAGCGGAGACAGTGTTATTCTCTGGGCAATGTTCTGCTGGAAAACCTTGGATTCTGGCATACATGTGGATGTTACTTTGGCATGTACGACCAACCTAGAGATTGTTGAAGACCATGTAAATCCCTTCATGGCAATGGTGTACCCGGATAGCACTGACCTCCTTCAGCAAGATAATGCACCCTGCCACTCTGCAAAAATTGTTCAGGGTTATTTTGAGGAACATGACAGAGTTGAAGGTGGGCGCCAAATCCCCCAGATCAAATTGAGTATCTGTGGAATCAGTTGTTGCAACAAATCCGATAAATGGAGGCCCCGCCTCGTAACTAGCAGGTCTTAAAGGATCTGCTACTAATGTCTTGGTGCCAGATACCACAGGAAACATTCAGAGGTCTTGTGATATTAGACACGTGGTTTTAATGTTGTGGCTAATCATTGTACCTTGTGTGCATACCCCAAGGTACATTTGATATTGGCTATTGGTATATGGGATACAGTGGAAAATGAAAGAATCCCTATATCACTTAATTTTCTCACTAAAATTAACTTTAAATCCAACATATGCCACAGTGCTTTACAATATTGAAAAGAGAAATTACGTAGCGAGTAATTGACAGAAATATAAGATGTCAGAGGTGACGGCTTCAAAATCAACATTTTAATTTGAGAGAAACACAGAAAACTTACCGATTGATGCAGATGGTGACAATCCATGCCCAGTTTTAGCAAACAAGTATCCGTGAACACATTCAAAACAAGGAGCGATAATTAACAACGGAACAATACTAATTATTTTCATAATGGCAATTGGAAAGAGAAATCCATTTAAATTTAGATTTGAATTCATGGTTTGAATGAAATATCCAGATGAAACCTGGACAAAAAGAAAGTAATACAAATTCTAGAAACAGAATATTTAATATTAGAATACACCAATAACTAATTAAAATCCCCATTAAAGGGTTAATAAAAGCACCATGACCATTGAGCGATTTCAAGTGGTCATGTTGCTTGAAGTCTATACATGTAGCGTTTCCCTATGAAGTGAGATATTTTACATTGATTTCAGAAATGTAGCTCCACCTCTGGCCACATTATTAGTACCATCATTCAGGGTGGAACTAATGTCAATTATTTGTATATTCCAGCCAACCAATGTCCACCTGCCTTCAGGGGAGACTTTATGACCAACGAGGAACCAGGTAATTATTACAAAATGGTTTTCCCCATTACCATGGAATGGCGCCAGGGTGCTCCTAACTTCATAACCGCTATAGAGTAACCATTCTTTACTGCATCTCTCGGAAATTTATCTAAGGAAAGGACAATATTCTTCACATATTACATGACAAATATTGGAAGAAAGGTTCAGGTTTTTAGCAAGATGTCATTATAGAGAATAGACTCCATAATGAAAGCTTTCCTTTAGTTCTGTGAGTCATTTAATTTTCTGGGGAAAAGAGGTAAAAGCATTCTGTAAATGCTTTAATTTGGAGATTAACCAGTCCAGTTTAAATTTTTTGAATTTAGATTCACCAGGAGGCTACAGCTTGTGGAACTGAAATTAAATACATTTGTCTTTTCATTTTCGATCTTCCTATGTTTCATATTACAGATTCATTATGAAAACATATAATTTTATCTACATCATTCGTTGTGCACTGTGGAAAAAATGTGGTTCGTACAAATTGATTTGCCATTGCGTGTTATGGTTCAAATAAATTTTGTCCATTTGGTCATTTTGGCAACATAGTTTGGACAAACCAAAAAAAATACACATTCTATGTGTACCTTCTATCAGTGCCCACACCGTGACTTTCTATGTGTACCTATTAGTGCCCACACTGACGTTCTATGTGTACCTTCTGTCAGTGCCCACACTGTGATGTTCTATGTGTACCTTCTATCAGTGCCCACACGTGACTTTCTATGTGTACCTATTAGTGCCCACACCGTGATATTCTATGTGTACCTTCTATCAGTCCCCACACTGATGTTCTATGTGTACCTTCTGTCAGTGCCCACACTGTGATGTTCTATGTGTACCTTCTGTCAGTGCCCACACTGTGACGTTCTATGTGTACCTTCTTTCAGTCCCCACACTGATGTTCTATGTGTACCTTCTATCAGTGCCCACACAGCGACCTTCTATCAGTGCCCACACTGTGGCTTTCTATGTGTACCTTCTATCAGTGCCCATACTGTGACGTTCTATGTGTACCTTCTATCAGTGCCCATACTGTAACGTTCTATGTGTACCTTCTATCAGTCCCCACACTGTGACGTTCTATGTGTAACTTCTATCAGTGCCCACACTAACGTTCTATGTGTACCTTCTATCAGTGCCCACACTAACGTTCTATGTGTACCTTCTATCAGTGCCCACACTGTGATGTTCTATGTGTACCTTTTGTCAGTACCCACACAGTGACTTCTATGTGTACCTTCTATCAGTGACCACACTGACGTTCTATGTGTACCTTCTATCAGTCCCCACACTGTGACGTTCTATGTGTACCTTCTATCAGTGCCCATACTGTGACGTTCTATGTGTACCTTCTATCAGTCCCCACACTGTGACGTTCTATGTGTACCTTCTATCAGTCCCCACACTGTGACGTTCTATGTGTACCTTCTATCAGTGCCCACACTGACGTTCTATGTGTACCTTCTATCAGTCCCCACACAGTGACTTTCTATGTGTACCTTCTATCAGTACCAACACTGACGTTCTATGTGTACGTTCTATCAGTGTAATGATATTGATGTTACAAAGTTTTGGAGTCCAGTAGCCAGATCAGCAATGTTTTCTGCCAGAGGTAGCCACTCGTTACCCAGGTGGTTGAGCCCCTGAGCCTTGAGTGGCCTTCTGGTCTTAAGCAGAGATGGGAGACTGAACAGAAAGATGATAATCGTAGTGAGGCAAGCCGAGGTCAGTGGGAAGGAGAAGCAGCAAAGTCAAAACAGTCCAAATTCAGCAACAGGAAGGAGAAACAGGAACACGCTTGATTAGAGAGCACGGGAACCACAATAATCTGGCAAAGGTACAGAGACAGGAAGTGGCTTTTATAGGCCAAGAACCAGACACCTGACCAGACACAGCTGAAGAGAGTTGTCACTGATAACCTTGACTCTACAAGCAATGGTATCAGATCTTAGGTAAATTTGCAAAAGGCAGGCTGGTGTACTGGTAAGGAAGAGGTTTAGCACCATGTAAACCAGGGTTCGAAACCCAGCAGAGTCAGTTCCTCACAATCAGTGCCCACACTGTTATTATTATTGCCATTTATATAGCGCCAACAGATTCCGTAGCGCTTTACCATATTATGAGAGGGGGATTTAACTATAAATAGGACAATTACAAATAAACTTACGGGAACAATAGGTTGAAGAGGACCCTGCTCAATCGAGCTTACATTCTATAGAAGGTGGGGTGTAAAACACATTAGGACAGGAATTAGCAGTCAAATAAGGTGGGCTGCCCTTTGGAGAGAGCAATAGACAGGTATGTGAGATAGAGGTTAGTCTGGGAGGCCATAAGCTTTCTTAAAGAGATGGGTTTTAAGGCACTTCTTAAAAGATGCAAGACCAAGGGAGAATCTGATGGCAGTAGGCAGGCTATTCCATAGGAAGGGAGCCGCCCGCGAGAAGTCCTGCAAGCGCGAGTTGGCCGTACGGGTGCGGACAACGGACAGGAGGTGGTCACGGGCAGAGCGGAGAGACCGAGAAGGGACATACCTAAGGATCTGTGAGGAGATATAAGGGGGGCTAGAGTTGTTTAGTGCTTTATAGGTGTGAATTAGTACCTTGAATTGACTCCTATAGCACACAGGAAGCCAATGTAAGGACTGGCAGAGGGGTGGGGTGTGAGAGAAACGACTAGAGAGGAAAATCAGTCTGGCAGCAGCATTAATTACGGACTGTAGCGGTGCAGTACAGCTTTTGGGAAGACCAATCAGGAGAGGGTTGCAATAATCCATGCGGGAAATTACTAGAGCATGGACAAGCTCCTTGGTAGTATCTGGTGCAAGAAATGGGTGGATGCGGGCTATGTTTTTAAGATGGAATCTACAGGATTTGGCAACATGCTGGATGTGAGGCTCAAAGGTGAGGCCAGAATCAAGTGTGACAACAAGACAGCGAGCTTGCAAGGATGGACTGATGTGGGTACAACAAAATTGAAGGGAGAGTGAAAGAGGAGGATCAGTATTAGGAGGAGGAAAGACAAGGAGCTCAGTTTTAGAGAGATTGGGTTTCAGAAAGCAGGAGGACATCCAGTCAGAGATGGAAGAAAGGCAAGCAGTGACATGTTGCTGGACGGCAGGGGAGAGGTCCGGGGAGGAGAGATATAACTGGGTGCAGTGGAAACCAAAAGAGGTAATAAGTTTGCCAAGAGAGGCACTAAAGAGAAAAATAGAAGGGGACCAAGGACAGAGCCTTGGGGAACTCCAACTGAGACAGGATGAGGGGAGGAGGTATCATGAGAAAAAGAGACACTGAATGAGCGATGGGAGAGATAAGAGCAAAAAACCTCGAGAGGACAGAGTCACAGAGACCAAGCGATTGAAAAGTTTGAAGAAGGAGAGCATTATCAACGGTGTCAAAGGCCGCTGAGAGGTCAAGAAGAATTAGTATGGAGTAGTGGCCTTTGGATTTAGCTGCGATTAGGTCGTTAGTAACTTTGATAAGCGCAGTCTCAGTAGAGTGGAGAGGGCGGAAGCCAGATTGAAGAGGGTCAAGGAGAGAGATGGAAATGAGGAAAATAGACACACGAGTAAAGACAAGTCTTTCCAGAAGCTTTGAACAAAAAAGGGAGCAGGGATATAGGACGATAGTTAGAGGGGGTGGACGGGTCGAGGGATTGTTTTTTTAGTATAGGTACTACAGTGGCATGTTTAAGGTCAGCAGGGACATTCTATGTGTACCTTCTATCAGTGCCAACACTAATGTTCTATGTGTACCTTCTGTCAGTGCCCACACTGTGACGTTCTATGTGTACCTTCAATCAGTGCCAACACTGAGTTTCTATGTGTACTTTGTATCAGTGCCAACACTGACGTTCTATGTGTACCTTCTGTCATTGCCCATACTGTGACGTTCTATGTGTACCTTCTATCAGTGCCGACACAGACGTTCTATGTGCACCTTCTATCAGTGCCCACACTATAACTGTAACAAAACTCTATCCTGTGCCTAGAAACACTGGCTATTACCGACCCTTTAAGAGATAGCCAGGCACATACACAGGGACAGAATCCTCGAATTATAAGGATGTACCGTTTGTTCAGAAAAGGACATCAAGCTGACTTTTAAAGCATTCATCATACAAATGCAAACTACCGAACACCGGACCACCCTGCTACCTAATTATGTGTAATTTACCTCCCTGATCGGCGAATACAGTCTTCATGGGAAACACACGAACACTTTGTTGAAGTGCCTGGGTGGCCGATATTTTGGGACTTTTACACGTAGTCGCGGCCATCTTACTCCTGAACAGCAGTGTTTTGCCGCCGAGTGTCTGGAACTAAAATCGGACACTCGAGTAGGCGAACACCGCTGAGACCTCCATAGCACTGGAAATTCATGCCAAAAATACCGGATGGCAAGCCTTTCAGGACTTTTAACGTGCGAACAAAGACCGACTGCAAGGCCAAAACTCATGGAACTATTTTCGGCTACTTTGCCTGTGCAGTCGGTCAAAACGTTAAAGTCCCAAATCTCCAGAACCACTGAACCGAATGAGCTGATTTTTTAATATGTTGTTCCCCCAGAATGGGGCTATCTGCATGTACCCCAGGTATTTGGGGTACATCCAAAACTTGGGGAAAAATGTATTTGTTAATTGTGTTACAGGCTTATCTGAGGGAAGGAGATGTGTGGGATGTACCTTATGTTTTTATTGGTTGGTGTTAATTATGTGGGTGTCTCCCTTGCATGGGCAGAATCACATAAAAGGAGAGTACCTGCCATTAAAATTCAGTTCTTCTTGACCCTTCAAAACTTAGCCTTGTCTCTTTATTGAAAGGGGATATGCAGCTTAATCACTTAGCTCTTTCAAGAGCTCTGCCTGACTCCTGCCTTGGATCCAGTGGATGGGAATAAGCAACTCCACTAATACACAGCGACTTGCCAGGAAGAAAAGGACGTCTCCAACGGCTGATACCCTCCTACTACCTGGGTAGCCGTTACAGTGACGTTCTATGTGTACATTCTATCAGTGCCCACACTGATGTTCTATGTGTACCTTCTGCCAGTGCCCACACTGTGACGTTCTATGCGTACCTTCTATCAGTGCCCACACTGTGACGTTCTATGTGTACCTTCTGTCAGAGCTTGTTGGGTGCTCGTCCTGAGTGAACCTACCTAAAGATTTCCAAAATTCTCAATGAGGATTAATCCAGCTCATTAAGAAGTCCATTATTGGACAGTAGTGCACAAGGCTTCTGTCAGGTTTCAAAACGAACATGTAAGACTTTTTCGTTTATTACTGGCCCTTCAAGTGAACTTAATGATTTTCTCTTCTAGTGGCCTCCCTAGCCACTAATCTATTCACTCACCTTAATGACCTCACCTGGATTAACTAATTAGGAGGCTTGATAAGTCTACTCCCAGCACACAAGAGTGCCTTGACATTGAAGTCTTTTCTCTGATAAAGAATCTCTGTTCCTTGTAATATCCTGTATTTTATCTACATTATTTCATTCTGTAGAGAACTTACCTGCAGTGCCTCATCCTGTACTCCTCTGCATTTCCTCATACTGAAAGGCACTAACCTGCATTACTTCATCCTGAACTTGCCTGAATTACATCTTACCGAAAGACTTTCCTTATCGGCTTCCAAGAATCCTGATTTGTGGCGTATTGCCGTCATTGAAGAATCTTAACTGCTTCAATTGCTGCATCTCTGCATGATCTCGTAAGCAACCTGCATTATATTATTTGGGAATATACCTACCTTTTGTATACAAAAGACTTTAATCATTTACTTTCTAAAGATCTTGTTTGTGGCATATCGCCTAAACCCTGTTTTTTTCTCACAAAGTATCCTGTTTATGGCAGACTGCCCTTTATTCTTTATTTTCAGTAAATTTGTAATGTCTAATACGACAAATAAAGTTTTAACCAATAACCCTTCTCAGTGCAAAGCTTCTGATTCTTGTCTGTGCTAAGGAAGAAGGGGCGGGGGGGGTTGCAGTAGTTGACTATATCTGCAGCAACTGCAAGCTATGATTTTATATAAGACCAAATAAAATATGCAAAAATAATTACAATCATTTTTTTTTCTGTGGGGATTCTCATATATGTACATATATAGTGGAGTATTATTTTAATTAATACATCCTCAGTAGCAACTTTGTTATAAAGATATGACCCGTTAAGTAAATCCCAGGCCTTCATGGTAGAGTTAAGTTGTGATATAATGTTACAGAGATCCCCTCTGTCGGATACATACAGCTACTTTTGTTTCACTCTGATACTTTGTTTTATGCGAACACATTCTACAAGTCATTTGTATGTACGAATGACAGACCTCCCGGCCATTGGCGTGTGCCGCTAGTTAACCCCATTGACCTCGAAACCACCGAAAGAACGGATGAACAGCAGACCACCTTACACCAGGAGTGTGTTGACAATTAACCTCCCGGGAACTGTGGTTTGTGGTTAACCGCAGCCTAATTGACTGGCATCAAGGTGGTCACCATTCAGATACAAAGCACCGAACCACAGCACGAAAGAACTGTCGAACGACGACCACCTAGATACTGGCGTGTGTCCTCAATTAAGTTGTGGTTTTTGGGGTTAACCGCACTCTAAGTACCTATTCCAAGGTGGTCGCTGTTCGTATGTCGAACACGAGGCGGCGGCCATGTTTGTGTCATCGAATGCCCAGCGGGACCTAGTGTTAAAACTCCTGGAACTATAAGCAGCTAATAATTTATACGAACCCCGCTGAGGTGCCGGTTATCCCATCCATTCATATAAAAACCATACTAACAGACTTTACTTTCGTGACTCTTGCACATCATTCGGGAGATCTGAGCGCACAAAATTTACGAATGGCGCTCAGATCGACCGAATGATGTGCAAGAGTCACGAAAGTAAAGTCTGTTCGTATGGTTTTTATATGAATGGATGGGATAACCGGCACCTCAGCGGGGTTCGTATAGCTATCCAGAGAATGGTCGAATGGGATATTTTAGTGTTTAAATGTAGAAGTTCTATATTTTTATGTGTTTTTCATGTGTATAATAAAAAGTGGTATTTTTCATGTACTTGGAGATAATTAGATTAGTGTAACCGTTGGTATCAATTATCTCCAAGACAGGGGAGAGTGTTTCAAAAGATGCATTTTGCTCTTATTGATTGGGACATTGCATTGTCCAGTGTTCCATCAGGTCCAGAGGGGGCTGTCCTCTGGCCTGGTAACTTGTATAAATTTCCATGCATGAGTGCCATTAAACACAGTTCGTTTTACCCTCCACTCGCAGCCTCGACTCGTGTTGTAGGGAAAGGTGTATCCTAGCTGTGCTATAGCTAGTGGGATGTTCTACATTTACTGGAATTACTACTGTATGCTGATTTGAGCGGCTCTCCCTCTCTCCAAGTTCAGGAACCAGGATATCCAAGCGGTCCAACTTCCAGCCAGCGTGGAGGCAACCGTAACATATAACTCTTAATTAAATTAATTCCAAGGAATATCACAACCCAAAACATTTAAAGATCACTAAGGGGCACGCAGATCACTAAATCTCCATGCGTTGTGACACAATCCTGTGTCTCAATGAAACAGTCTGGGTGCAGAAGCCCTGTAGTTTTAACCTTGCAATGTACAACATTGGTGTTTAGTAGAAACCGCAATCTTTACACAGCCACTACAGGTGCTTCCGCTGTGAGATGGATTTGGTTTTCAATAAAAGGCTACTCCCAGCACAGCCTTTGATAGGTGCAGATCGGTGATTTGCTTGACATGCATTCTGGCTTGCCTATAAGGGAGAATTGGATTGGCTGAGCTCATCAATGTTGATAATCTCAGCAAGGGATCGGCAGAGTGGCCGTGGAAAGACAAGCGCAGCGAGGGCATAAAGTTTATAAAACCTCACCTGTCAAACACTCAAGAGGGGGGGAAAGGAAGGCTTTAAAAGGTGAGATTTTCTTACATTAAACTAGGTAGATTAAATGTATAGCGTTATGAATACGTTTGTATTTCTAGTGCTATATCATAACCCATTCAACATTCTGCATGAGTGGCAAGAAAAGTATCGGACATATGGAGCTCAAAATAAAATCATAGCAAAGGTGATCTACAAGCTCTGGAGCAGTGTGAAAGGGATCCACAGTCCCTTAAAATTCTACAACGTCACAATCCACAGGCTTCCGTGTGGTGCAAAATGTGACGATCATATGAACAAAATCATTATATGATCATTATAAATGATCACTTCTTGCAGCACACTGTGAAGCCGTTGGATTCTAGCATACTGATCTATTAGAACCTCTTGTGATCTGATAGAACCTGTTCTATCCTACTGACTGTATTCAGGGCAGGAACCTCAGTGTTCTCCTGCCACCCACCAATCCAATCCTGACTTAGGTTTCATGTTGTTGGATAAGCTTTTCAAATGATTTGCTATTTCTTTTGTATTTAATTTTCTTTTATTGGTTTTATATTGCAAATAAATAAATAAAAATGGTTACAGAAGAGAAGCAGTGGGTTTTCCAAAAAGTACTGCGTTTTAAGTTGATTGTACAATACAAGGTTTTACACAGTTTTCAGTTGGGTACGACAAGTGAATGGATTCACAGAATTTTCAATTTGCACATTCACATTTGCATCTTTACACATTTACTCTGTGCGTTGTTTCTTATGTGCCGATCTTAACCCATTGTTTCGTCTTATAACTTAAGTGGTGGTGTAACCACTTCTTTTAGTCTTCTCATTGTGCTAGACATGAATATAAACTTGGGGGGAAGATAACTTAGGGTAGTTTGGGGTAAGGGGGGGGGAGATAACTTACAGTAGTTTGCGGTAATGGGGAAAGATATTTTGTCTTCATATGCCGTGAAGTTGTGTGGTGAGGTGTGCTTAGTTATATATGTGCCCTAGAAAGTGGGTGTTCTGTGGGGGGGGAGGGTGGGGGTTTGTTTCCCCTCTGTTAATTAGGCTTGATTCCAAGAGCCTCCAGGCTTCTCTCCAGAATGGTTTGGGGGGGGTCTAGTTAGTCTAGCCATAATTTCGTATGTCAAAACATGAGACCCATATCCCTGCTAAATACGGACACAAAACTCCTAGCAAAAATTTACGCAAATAGAGTATCACGCATGCTCCTCTTCCTGATACACGAAGATCAGGTGGGGTTTGTCATGGGCAGGCAGGGAGCAGACGGCACAAGGAAGCTACTCAATCTCCTGTATAGCGCGCGGCGAGGGGGGAGGCCCAGTGCATTTCTGTCACATGATGCTGAAAAAGCTTTTGATAGACTGCACTGGAGCTTCCTCGCGGCTGTCCTCGCAAAATTTAATTTTCCCCCCAAGATTTAGGTCTCTAGTATCAGCATTGTATTCCGCTCCGAGTG